TCGGTAGGTATAGTTTGGTAACATACAGTTTTTATTTACATAGTGGTTATTATAAATAAAATAACTAATCTTCCCTTTTCTAACAAAAATATTATTGTTTTCTAAAATTCGAGCCAGTGTCTCATTCACCTTTTCAAGAAATTCTAATGCAATAGTCTTGTCGTAACAGGTCACAAAGATCGAAAATACAAAGTTCTTCGATTTCATTTCCAGATATATTGATGATATCTTGTTATTAGATATCAAGAACATAATTGAGTTCATTGTTTATACCCACCTGAATGAACAATTAAAGGACACGACACTCCTTTCTACATCAGTCGGTTACTTCGAGCTTTTCCTACAACGAAATCAACAGGAACAATTTTTTTTACCAAGATTTGTAACAAGCCTGATGATTTCAATTTTCCTATTGTACATTTTGTGTTTAAGGAGACCAATAGTCCCTGTACTTGATTCAATATTAAAATGCTTGCAAAAATAAACCATGGGGTTTCTAGAGAAACTTTACTGTCGTCATAAGGATCTAAGTAAGCAGTATTATATTTCTTTGTGCGATTTGCAGTTACGAGTTTGATGTTAATTTGTGTAACGATTGGTTCCATTGCATACCTTGTTTTCAAGTGGGAACGTGACATTACTTATTTTGATTGACAAAGCGGTTGTCGCAGATGCAGCAAAGGACGTTTTCTCTTCTGGAGCACCTCATCTTATCTCCGTATATTTTGAGTTTAAAAATAGGTTAAGCTAACCCTTCAGGAACGCTTGGTCTTATTATCCTTTTACTTTGTATGAGTATTTCTTTTGTTGATATTTTGCCATAGTGTAATCGAATTCGAGATTGAATTAAGATTCTTTAGGTATATTCTTTGTTTCTTTGTTTTGTACATTACCAAATAAAGCACGTACATTAAAAGGTAGGCCTTGTTCATATCTTGAACCTCTCTCTGATGTGATGCAGTGTTTCTAATGCACCTATCCAACCATACATTTATCAATTTTTTAACAATTCTGATGAATCTATTCCGTATCGCTCCAGCTCTATGATACGTCACTTCCTGTCTGTATTATCAAAACAGTAATAAATTAAACAATGTTTGTTGCTCCATCTCGACCAAACGAATGTGTTTCGCCGAATTGGGAGATATGACATTAAATGACGGGATATTACACATGACTCGACCAATCTAATCAAAATCACCACTGATTACAGCGATGCTACTGGACCAGTGGGAAACTACAGCTCAGCACTGACCGCAGAAAAGCAATAAATATGTTTTGATGGTATGACATCTTCGACTTGGGATTTGGTCCATCAGCAAATTGTTAATATATCTCGTTTTTGGAAATATCGATATTTACACTTGGAGTGCTGTACAGAGCGATAAAAGTATACGATGATGTTATATATTAATCAAACTTCTGATACACATTAATTAGTGTTATCTGGCGTCCATTTTCTGCTTACCATATAGATGTAGGTACTACCGCATTAGCCGTCATATAGAATCAGAGACACACAATCTAAAACGAGGTCTCAGATTGTTATCTCTGATAGATCTGAGATTTGTCCATCAATATCACTATGATCAGAGATTTGACTCTATGTTTGTGATAAATGCAAGACACGCTTCCAGCATGCTTTAGTGTAGCCCCGGGTAGCAAAGTTAATTGATACATAGACCATCAGGATATGTTTTAAGTCAGCTTTACAGACTTCTAAAGACTGTCACTGACAAATGAGGATAAACGAGGCGTATTAAGTCGTAAATGATCTAAAATATTACAAGTATTGGTCGAGATGATAATAAGTCTTTTGAACTACAGGAAAGTGGCCACCACTACCTGGAATACCTCTTGTGATTTAGTAGACTTTAGCATTGATATGGTCACATTTTTAATAATCAGTTATTTTCAAGTGTTGAATTGATACTGCAATTACATCTTCTTTGATAACAACTTGGTTTGGAGTGTTTAACATATGCTCTATGATTGCTGAAGACTAGCAGTATCATACACCATCCCGAATACGTGGTCGTTATAAGGAAAAAAAGTATAAGAAAAATGTCTGTGTTTTCTGTTTTTGGCAAAAACAATACCCTAGAAATCTCAATGTTTACTTTGCTAATGTTTATACAGGCCGATGTCAAACATTCTCTCGACATCAATCTGGGATGATGGTGGTCGCCATGCCATCATTGGTTTTGGCTATGAAATTTATAAATGCTCACTAATATCTGCAAGCGTCACAAACTTTCACAAAAAACATCCATGAGATTAAGTGTTTCAGACAAGTATGCTATTTCTCTGAATGTGATAAATGCATTGCTTTGACAGATATTGACTGAAGTCTGTGTTTGTTTATTTTTTCCGATTTTTTTTTATACCTCACGCAAACGAGTTTGGGGGAAGTTAGTTACAGAAATCACTTTATCTGTCCATCTGTCCAGAACCTTATACAAGCGCATCTTCTCCGTCACTGCTCTGTGGAATTTCATGGATATCTGGACTTGAATGTACAATAAAGACTTCCATTTCTAAAACTCAAACAACATCACAACAGTATACTACATCACTTACACAACCTGACACATGAATATAAACCGTTCCCTAAACAATATGTAGTACTTGAGAAGTTTGTGCCAAAAAAAAAATCTTATCCTACCGACCCTTCAGTTTTTGGACAGAATAGGGAAACACGTATTTTTTCCCGCCAGCTCATCAAAGTGTACATTGCGTTAATCTATAACGCTTATAACGATAATACATGGAATATCATTAGTTGTAATGATATCTGAAATAAGTCAGTTCACTGCTTTCCGTTTCCCATTTATGACATTATTATGAGAGTGATAAATTTCGACAAACAAGTCACGTGTCAACTTCCGGTTCTATGTACAAATACACGAGTTCGTTATTTGACTTTCGGAATGTTTTATTTAAACTTCATATCAGGCATCAACCTCAATAAAACTGATCTACAATTAGTTAACAAATAGTATCATCATTTATACCAAAAAGATGCGCACCTGTCGCTACACATATATCGACAAGACACGCTAAGAGATGTAAGTCACTACGGAAGTAGAAATGTATTGATACAGTGGTACAAAAAGACCAACATGATCTTCAATATGTAAATATCGATCAATATGCTCTTTATAAATAGAAATTGAAAAATACCTTTCATAAGTGCAAATAAATCAACATCTTCATTCAGAAGTACAAGTAAACCATTGTTTCAACAATACACGTGCATTGCACTAAAGAAGTGTACTCAAGTGCAGAAGAAAGTAAGTGTATTTATAGGAGGGAAGATTGAATTTTACAAAATAAATGAGTAAACGATCAGTATTATTTTTAGAATGTTAGTCAGTTGTAATAATGAATGTGATTAGCCAATACAAAGCATATCTCTACGTTCCAAATTGCGTGTTAGAGTTCAATTTCTGTGCCGGAAAATATATATAACTTCATAGTATACTTATTTTCCACGTACACTAATGTAACGAGTTTCAACAGGTTGTTACGAAAGTACAAATATATCGACGGGTTGCTAAACAAGTACAACTATGTCTCAACAAATCTCTTCATCAGCAGAAATGTCTCATGCAGCTCTCTATAAGCTAAATCGACTCTTATAATACAAATATGTCGTGTCAAGTACATAAAGTTACGTAGGAACATATTTATAAACAAATCACTACATCGGTCATATATGTAAACAGATAGGTCGTATATATCAACAAGTCGAAATACAAGTCGTGTTTATGAACAAGTCGCTATATAGGTCGTGTATATAAAAAAGTCGCTATATAGGTCGTGTATATAAACAAGTCGCTATATAGGTCGTGTATATAAAAAAGTCGCTATATAGGTCGTGTATATAAAAAAGTCGCTATATAGGTCGTGTATATAAACAAGTCGCTATATAGATCGTGTATACAGACAAGTCGCTATATAGATCGTGTATAATAACAAGTCGCTATATAGGTCGTGTATATTAACAAGTTACTATATAGATCGTGTATATTAACAAGTCGCTATATAGATCGTGTATACAGACAAGTCGCTATATAGATCGTGTATAATAACAAGTCGCTATATAGGTCGTGTATATTAACAAGTTACTATATAGATCGTGTATAATAACAAGTCGCTATATAGGTCATGTATATTAACAAGTCGTTATATAGGTCGTGTATATAAACAAGTCGCTACGTAGGTCGTGTATAGAAACAAGTCGCTATATAGGTCGTGTATATAAACAAGTCGCTATATAGGTCGTGTATATAAACAAGTTACAATATAGATCGTGTATATAAACAAGTCACTATATAGGTCGTGCATATAAACAAGCCACTATATAGGTCGTGTATATAAACAAGTCGCTATATAGGTCGTGTGTATAAACAAGTCACTGTACAGGTCGTGTTTTAAACAAGTTATGTATATTACAAGCCACTTCACATGTCGTATATGTATTATAAGTCGTTTAACAGGTCATGTATGTATATAGCAAGCCGTCATACAGGTGATGCATATAAGCAATTTAACAGTTCGTAATATAACTAGCTCGAAAATACAACCATCTCAATCAGTTGTGATAAATGTAGCAATATAATCTAATATCCGAAAGTTAAAGTAAAATAAAGTAATCGTTCATATCACAAGTGGCTTGTTGCTGTGCATTCCCGAGAATTTCATACAGCAATATTACAGACTTTGATAAAATTTTACTTCCATAATGTGACACAATTGGAGATGTGGGAGACGCAATCATCTGTACTATCTAACAACTACAGCACTTGTCATATTTTCCTTTCCATAAATCGTCCGCTAATGACTTCAATGGGACTTCAGTACTGTTTCCCACATTTCAGACTTCATCTCAGAAGAATTCAAGACTTTATACAAATGAAATTTAGAGTTATCAACATAAAACGAAAAATGAATTTTACAAAGTATTCTAAACACGAATATGGGAAGATTTTCGGTATTCAGAGTCTTGTTCCTAAATACCATGACCAGTAGAATATATGGAAAAGTCCAAAAGATCCCGGGAAAACAAGACGTGACGTCAGATCTATTTTACTGACACTATTAAGATCTGTACGCGCTGACTTCTGAGCACGGTACGATCCCACAATGCACCTCCAGAAATTCACCAGGCAATGGCTATGAGTGTTACTCTTGTAGCTAAAAATACTTGACGTCACACGCCCGTTTCCTTGGTGATCTGGAAGAATCAACCGATGAGGTGTCGTCATCACATCCTGCAATAGGAAATAGAAATATGTTTATATCAACTAACACACAGACTAAACATGAATAAGAAACGAACAAAGAAAATGGAAAAGAATAACAACGAAAGGCAATGAAACATTTTTTCATCATTCACAGATTGTACAAAAGATACACAAGTCAAAAAACATCTTTCGTTACAGAATTAGAGTTAGATACGATGAATTAAACCGTATCACATTGCCGTTTCGTCTGTTAAGGGCTCTCAGTGATGCTAAGGGCTCAAATTTTGAAGCTTAGGACTAAGAAGTAATTCAATTGTGTGCCTTTCATAAAATCATTCGATCTTTCTTACAACCAGATATTAGATTAGAAATAAATACGGCAAAATTGTAAACTGAAAGCACGATTTATTATTCATGTTAAGTCAATTATGCTCATTAGACTATTGTAAAAACTAATCCACTTTGAAAATACAACAAACCATGTTTGAATGTGCCGAAGTAAAACTTTCAGGAATCGGTAAACACATACAAAGACAGATTCTGTATTGTTGGGTTTTATCTAATAAGACGATACTGGAGTACTATGATATTGCAATGTGAGAAAAGTAACAGCGGATTGCTTTACTTTCTAAATAGAAATCGAATTTGACTACGCGCGGAAAGATTTAGATATAAAACCATAGGAAACGTAATTCTTCAAACTAGTTTAAATGCAAAGTTTCGCCTTATGGTGACATGACAAAAATTGAATGGCTTTCAAATGAAAATATTAGACACTCTTCACCACGTAAACTCGATTGATTCAATTAATTCTCAGAACGTTCCTGCCATATAATTTAAGTTTGAGATGTCAATTCGAAGGCAATTTGGAATTCTATCACATTTCATTTTCACACGATCTAGACATACGTACAACAATGACAGAAACGCAGAATTAACCAAAAGGCTTTATTGATCTTGTTTTTTTTTCAACACACAGTTTCGATATGGTATCTAACAAATTTGTAGAACATTTGCCTGTATATAATGTGAATGAATGGGCTACCTTGTCCATGTTATATTCCAGTGTTATGGCACTTGACGTGGCCAATTGAGTGGTTCTATCATCCTTTAGCACGTGCAGTAGTTCGTACGTCATTAGATGTTGCTAAAACGTAAATCATTCCATTAAGGCACCAAACAGACTTTCCTGTTCTCACTTTGACTGCCTTTTTTACCCTCTATTCCCCTTTCTTTTACTGTTTTTCCCTTCCGTTGTCGCTTTCCTACTTTATCATCGAACCTTTCCTGACCTAATTCTTATCTTTGTCCCTATTTGCTGCTTCTTCTGCCTTCCTCGCCTCTTCACTTTTTCAACCTTAAAGAACAATCAATGTTAGCTCTTTCATCTACTTCTCCTGTATGTTTAGCGTTTCTTATCACGACTGCCCTTTCTACTTGCACACTGTTCTGTTTCTGTCTCATTTCTAACCCCTGCCTCTTCACTTTGGTCCCTCTGTTTTTATATTAGCTATCGCTTATCTCCCTGTTCGCGTTCTCGTGTTTGCTGTTCCCTTTCTAATGCCACCTCTTTGATTTCTTATTTATTTCTCCAATAGTTTTTCTCCTCTTTTCCATCTTCTCGTGTTTGCGTACACGCTGAAAAATCATACGCCTTCCACGCGCTGCTGTTGTTTCAATATTACCTGTCATAAACTCTTTCTGTGCCCTCTCTTAATTTGAGGGACTGAAGTACTGAAGAGACAATACAAATGCAAGGAAATAGATATAGAAGAAAAAACTCGAGGTCTTCTTGTGTTCCTTAGTGTATATGCTGCGCTGTTGTATAATTGTATTCTATCTTCATTGTTGGGGATAAAATGTCTACTTTTATAATATATAAAAAAACATTTTCTGTTTTACGATATTGCGACATCATGAAACCTTCATTTCTAATTACCGCCGTCAAAATAGAGCTGTACCAAGTCTCCAGCATCGTTGGAGGTCAATGTTTTAAGTGCACGATGACAATAATTATCATTCTATATTACAATGATATGTGTCTATAGTTGAAGACTCCGCTATCATAAATTACTATATCGTGCTCGTTTAAATTCTCCACCAAGGGGCAAACTCAGAGCCAGCATCATTGTCTGTACTGCTGTTTCTAAATTGGTGGGCCCGCGATCTTTAATTTAATCAACGGCTATTCAAAGATTTGCAAAATTGGATAGAAGGCACAGAATCTAATTAAATTCCGAGCATGGGAGGAGATAGTAGGATCGCTAAATTCCAGGATTTCGTGCAGATAAAGTGAGTTTTTACTAGCAGAAAATTAAATCGCTCGACTTTAAAATTGAAACCAATATCCAGGACGTAAAAGGAAATGTAACCTTTACCTGGTATAATGAAAGTCGAGAAGTATCGGATGTGTTATACTAGTTATACAACACTCGGTAATAGGTGGAGCACGAGAGTTTCCGGTTTTCGGATATTTGTTACACATCACGCACGCAAGTGTGAAAATAGATTTCAAAATTTAGACGAAATTAATTGTTCACGGACACAGTATTAGGACAGACGATATAAAGAAAGAAAAAATAAAAAGAAAGAAAAAAACGTGAGGAATCTTTAATTCAAATTATGTTGAATTAAAGGTCATTGTATGATAAGTAAAGATGGAGATGTAATAAAATTATAGTAGACCAGTATCACCAATAGAGATTATTCCTACCTGTGTTTCCTCCTCCTTTCTCTCTTCACGTGGCTTCGTGTTGACAATGATTTTAGTGAAGGAGTTGACGGCCGCGTACTGGATCATGGCGGCTAGGTTATACACTAGACATACGTACAGGTAGACGTCCAGAGCGGTGGCATACGGCACGCGCGGAAGTCCGTCACGTTGTAACATGCCAATGGCTGCCGTCGACAAGATCGTCGTCATTCCTGGAAAGAGAAATAACCATACACGTGTAAATTGTGCCGAGGTACAAATCATTGGAAAGTGTTCTCTTTCTCATTTGATGAGACATTCTGAAAGTGTCTGCCAATAATATTGATAAAACTTCAATTACTTTTAATTGTTTCGTTTAAATATAAAAGGTGCATTTGAAATTATCCAGAATATCACTCACCCAGTAAAACTCTAGCTGGGGCGGCATCTCTGTTGATCCAGAACGAGACCCAGGACAGACATACTATCAACGTACAGGGGAGATAAGTTTGTAGAATAAAAAAACCCAGATGGCGCTCCAAATGAAAGTCGACAGCCAAAATTGAAAATTCGCCTGTAATGTAAATGTTGTCAGGAAATTGATGCTAAGTTATTACAAAATCAAAATCAGATATTCAAGTTTTAATGGAATTTGCCCGGTGTCAAAAAGAGGATTGTGGTTCTTGCAGCCCCGCATTGAACCGAACTTTTCTGTGATTGTTCGGAAGGATACATGAGAAAAAGCCAACATTATGATGCCTCCATCAGAGTAAGGAGAATCAATCAGTATATGTTGTCCCGAACCGAGTTAGAAATATAAAACAATATATGTTGTCTCCAGTCGAGTTAAAAACATCAAATGGTAAAGGTTGTCCCGAGCCGAGTTAGAAATATCACTATAACAGTATATGTTGCTCCATGCCGAGTACAAAACACACCAGATATTACTGGCTTTCCGTACTGTTGTTACCACCATTTAAACTATATTTCCAAATAACTGCTATTGTTTAACAGCACATAACGTTAGCGTAGCTTTGACTGGAAAATGATACGATACTTATATTACCGCTGTCGACTCAAGTGTTAAAATGGGACGTTTGATTAGCAATTAGCTCCATTTATAGACCTAAACCAAAAGTTAATTAAGGCCTCTGAGGTTCTACACAAGAATTGTTATTTAATTTGTTTCCCGGAGATGATAAACGCCTTAAAATCTCCTTTCGTTGTTAATCAGCTTTGTCGTTACAGCATGTGGGATTTGTCCCCAGTATTATTTACGATCGATTTACATAAAGAGATTTATTGACAGAAGGGCGTGTAGCTCGAAGTGATGATTTGACTGTACTACAGCTGGCTGGTGTTTGGAAACAAAAGTACAGTATATCCATAACTGAGCACGCACGAGGCACTCCAGTACGTACCAACGTCTATACTTTATGCATTAAAACACTATATACACCGACATGTAAAACAGAGAAATCCCACACGAAAAATGTTTACGTGAGGTTTACCAAAAAGGGAAATATTTTGCAATATTCAATCGTAATTGAAGCTTTCGTCAGTTTTCTGGAAAATTACTCTGTTCCGAGAATTGAACTATATCGCACAACTAAGGTCACCTAAAGACAATTTGTTTCGGCAACGAGCAGTAAATTGTAACAAGATTAACATGCCTTCACATATCAACATACTCCCACACCACACATAAAATTCCCTTCAATAGGGTGTGTTTGGACGATTTCTAAATTATTTTTTTCGTTTCCATATACTTTTGTCCAAATCTAGCGTTATTGATAAGAGAGAAAAAAACTAAAAACATGATACGATTTGATAGAAATTTCGAAAGTGGTCAGAGATAAACCGTAAAAATGCGTTTGGTTAACAATATGTTAAGTACCATCCTTCACGTTTTAGTCTAGTTATCTGGACTCTACTGTATAAAATATCACAAGAATCAGGTAAACCAGGATTTCTAAAATAAAGGTGGTATCTTTATGTATGGATCGCCCAACTCCATTGCTGTGCATTTGATTCACAGAAAACGTCGCATTACTCTGTAGGAAACTTCTGAGGATCATAAATGGCGTGTGGGTCAGAGCCAGAAAATTGATTTAGATTAAAATTTAAAATGTTCGCTTCCAATAACTGACGTGTCCCATACAGAGCTCCTCTTTTCCTATTGCAGACGCAGTTACTGGTTTTGGAAGCCTTTTGCAATATATGGCTTAAAAAGAATATGCTTCTTAAAGTGCATGAGACATAAGTCAAGAATTGTCTATCCAAGTCACGTGTGAGAGGATTACGACAGTAATTTTCGTAATTTCGCTTGACGTGTTTTTTTAAACCATCCCGCACCTAGTCTGGCCGACCTGTACAGCGCTAACCGATTACCCCGACCGGCAAACTGTATTAGGCGCAAAAGAAAACAGCGATGGGAAATTATTTCGTAATGGCGGACGCCATTAAAACGGCGCCAGTTCAAAATACACAAATAGAAAATAGGAAATATGGATTCTAATTCTAAAGGCAATCTAATTAGGTCCGTTGAATCTAAGATAAGCTTTCTTAAATTTCCAACGCGAATTTCAATAATAAATTGTAAAACTGATTGAATGATACTTAGTTACACACATAGTGAAAAAATATGAAGCCATCATATATTTATCATGTAAGAACAAAGCATTAAATGACTTAAGTGGTTTAAAGAGTATCGGTAGGCCAAGGAGTGTAACTGTCGAATTGTTGTACATCCTTTCGTAGTTTTGAAGAATATTTTGCGATTGCATAACCTAGATGTTGTGGTCATAGGATTCTGACCACAAGATATGGCTATGTTGTATTTTGTACATGTATTCGGTTAATATAGAATAAGTCACTAGTAATGAGATCCATCTGGATTTTAAAAAAATCAAATTCAAAATGTCTGTAGTATTTTAAAGAACGTTTCTAGGTCCCATCAAGTTTTAACAGATGTTTCTATGATTGTACGAATACAGAATTAAATAAAACATGCTTAATAGAGGAAATTAACCTCGATCACCTTTAGAAATGCACGCAAGATTCCGAATGACATAAGATTTACAGCGGAAAAGAATGCTACTTTATCAAGTCCTGTCCCGAATATAACCTAACGCCGCTGTGATTCATTTACATCGTACTTCCATAGACTGTTAAAAATTGCTCCTTACTCTGGAGTACTTTACAAACACGACGGGAACACCACGAATTCCATTTATTTGGCGATATATGGTGTCTCTTCCGTTGTTTGCGAACTGTTTTTAAACGATTTATGTTCGAACAGAAATTTTAAAGTACAAAACACTTGAAGAGATAGCATCAATTCGATTAATTCATATCTGACAGACGTCGTCACATGAAAGTTTGAATGCTACACGGTTGTACATGCTGACTGCAGTTATTTGGTTAAGTATATTGGATTAAAACCATATCTCGTTTCCGCGTCATGTTGTTCCCATCTCTACTACCTCGTTCCCGAAGCCAAACATCTAGGAATATTTATAGCAGCTGTGATTCGGTCTTCCATAACGTGTACCCTCTTCATTCGTATCTCGTGACTGTACTATATTTGGTGTTTAATTTCAGTTTTTTTTACTGAAAGCCTTATTTAGACATCCACAATTTAGCGTATTCGGATGAGGGCGTCTATTGAGAGGCCAATGGAAGGTAGTTTATGTCCTGATTGCCAATAATCAAAACAATGTTATTTTGCAGGTCACATATGGTGGCACTAATTGTTTATATTAAAATAATTATACCTACTCGTAACAGCTACACGATCAGTGGCAAGCTAACAGTTTTAGTAAGGATGGGAAGGAGGGTTAGGTTTAGAGAATGCAACTGATGTTGCAATGACCGGTTAAGAATGGCGTTGAGGACAGCAGATTAGTGGTGATTTCATATATATCTCCCGAGATGAAAACGTAATAAGTATGTCGACAATATTTGTTTTCACAATACAGATCTAGCTAACAAGGCTAAAATGACGATATTATGATATCACCCCTAATTTTTTTTCATTCTTGATTGATTGTATTGAACATAAGTATATCTCCCATGCTTGCTTTGTATATTTCCTTTCTGGTGCGCAACACATATGACTTTCATTATCCAGTAAAGTAATACCGAAACAGACCTAGTGAGGTTGGAATCTATGATGGAACAGCGCTTTCCCTATGGATAGTGGATATTATGAACATGTCACGATTTTGAAAAAGAATTTTAGAAAAGTACTCACCCATGTGATTGCTTTCTGTAAAGTTCATTGATTGGATGAAGTCCATGTCAAACTGCGACATGGTGAGATCATTATAGACTTCGACTGGAGAAGGTGCATTGCCAACCTTCCATATATACATAACATCCTTAGTGGTGTAGCCGTCTACAACGAGGAAATAAATATATAAATATAAGTTGTGATTACTAAAAAAATCATGCATGGAAACGTTTTGAAATGTTCAGATCATTTCAACTAATGTTAGTTCATCTTTCAAATTTAAAACCGTTAATTTTAACATGTTAACAAATTTGAAATGATATTTTAAATATTAGACCACAAAATGTAGAGTTATAACCCTTGGTGTTACAGTATACTAATAAGACTTACATATGAACCCTTTTTAATCTGATGTTCATTGTCTCTGAAATAACAAGTGCTATTCTTTTCATGCCATGTTTCAATCCCTTTGAATAGTGGTTCAGATTATACTCATACTCATACTGCTGAAACTTTCAGATTTTTGAAAATTACGAAATTTGTAAAATCATGCTACTACTGCATCTCCCCATAAAGATTTTGATATTTCTTTCGTTCGATTTGAATTTCCTCAGTTGCCTCCTTGACTTCATACTTAAGGACTTTGACATCACTAACGAGTTCTAGAGGAACGAAACAGTTGTATGATGTAGTTTTATGAATTAGTTTCCTCTGCTTTATCTAACTCTGTTTTGTCATTCAAAGATCATAACTATCGTTCAATGCAAATGATTATGTCTGATTTTTTAAAATACTAGACTAGACGAGTCCATAGGATAGCATCATTACATAAAATGGACTGTACAAAATATAGACGATGTAATGGTTATGTTTTCAGTTATATTCTTATTGGAATACTACTTACAGGACTATTTGGATAATATAATTACCCTCTCTGTTTACCAAACTAGGGAACTGTTGGCATATACACTAACTGAGATATTTTTGCCCTAAATTACACACGAAAAGGAAGACATTCAATAATAGTCACAGCAACTGACAGAAAACTGTTGGTGAAATCCCTAGTGATGCAACAGTAGAGATTCTTTATATGTAGGATGAACGTATCAAATGAGAAAATTGTCTAGACTACAAAGGTCTAGAAGCACGTTAAGATGATCACTAGTCATTGCTCGTTGGACCGAATATCCTTACAGAACAATATTTAACCTAACGTCTGTGAATGTGACTTTCTAACCTGCGGGTCTCTAAATGATTTTACTCACATCCACCAATTATTAGAGGGCACACAGGGCGATCCATGGGGTAATTCACCAACTTCATAGGACAGCTCGCTCGGATAGTTATTCTGTCAAAGAATGTATAATATTTCAATTAATGATGTTGTAATATTTTGCTGTGAATGTTTAAAACATCAGGTCAGCGTGACCTAGCAGAGGATTTTCTGATGCTTGCTTCATCTATTCTCGGACAATCCTATATGTACAACAAAAGGACCAGGGGTGGGGTGGGGTGTTACTACAAGTAGCATTAAAACATAAATCTATCCTTAGAAAAGACACAAGAAAATCTCTACTAGATAATGCTGACCTGATGTTCCAATTAAGATGGTATTAGTTTATATAAATAGCATTGATTTATTTTTATAACCACATGAGAGAGACCATAGCCGGGAGTTTATAAAGTTTTATACATAGGTTTAACACCATGGCAAATAAGTACAACGCACCTTTGTAAGTTATGCAGCGTGTAGATCAGCTATACAAGCGCCTACTAACCGTTTTGTCTTCTTGATAATATGTGGAGCTATGATATTGTATATTAACCGATACTTGTTCTGTTGCTTTTATCGAGTTGTTTTCCAACACTGATTTGAACTTCGAATGTCACTATGAGTTGCATTAGATTTCGATGTATCTATTGTGGTGTGAGAAAAGTTAATAAAATTCTTCAAAAAAGTTCCGTGAGCTATAAGCTGTTTAAGTTGTAAAGAACTGATCTATGTTCATCTCCACACTAGCTGGTGTATCTGAGACTTGATTGCGTGTCTGATTACCTACATTAGAGTAGAGTGTACGTATTATCAAAGGTAGCTATCCGTAAGATAAATGACTAATCAAACATATTTCATACGACCAAATGTTCCGGAAGTGTAAGCGTCGTCTGCTTCATCGACGAATGGTTGATAAAGGTATTACTTAAGTTTGATCGTTTTTTCGGACATTAACAACGTATGATGAATTAACAAGTCAGGACAAATAGTGCAGAAAGGTACCGCTCCTTAATTAAACAGACACGTGTCTTCTCTCTGTTGTTAGCGTATTGTACTTCTCTGTGGTAACGTTAGCACTGATAAAGGTCACTCCAATGCTGCACATAGACATATTGGATAAAGTTGAATATAAATGAGATCGTCTCCCTATAAAAATTTAACAAAAAGCATATTGCTTTCGTTATTCTCGATATGTCGTTCACACACGCCCAGACAGACAAGTGTATTAATTTCTCAACATAAAAGGATTAAATGACTGGATGTGGTCCATGGTAAGGTTTTAAACAACTCGAGACTTCAAACCAGTCTGACTTTTAAGTTAGTTATATTTGTATTAGCTTTAGTCTGCAGACGCTATTATTACATTACGACAAAAAAACACGTCGCTTCACTGTACCGGTATTTCTCACTGCCGCAACTCGTGGAGGAGGTTCGGGTAAACCAAGGACCACATCACAAATGTCTGACAGCCACATTGTTTACAAAAGTGTTTAATAGCAACCTAAGTGTACTGAAGACAAAGATGATTGTTAAGTCGCGAAAGGCAATTCTAGTGTTTCTGTGTAGTCTGCTTACTTTGATAAAATGATTTGTGATGCGGGAGGGGAATTTCTGACTTTCTTGATTACACATGGTAGAAGGTCCTATCCAGACAGTGTGGTTAGGTGTTATTACATCTGCACTGCACGCGATCCGTGATTTTGTTTCCTCGGCGGTGGGCCATTCCATAAAAAAAAACCCACTTATATTTTCTGTTTGACAACCGATTGTACGTCGTTTCAAATTCAAGGAATTCTTCAAAAATCGATAGTAAACATGATTTTGCTTAGATTTATCAACCTGATATCGTTTCATTCCGACACATATCACCAGAGATGTTCTTTATGCAACAGGTATAATAGTGCGTTGTCACAATCCGATCGGCCAGTCTGACCTCGTTGTGTTAGTGATTTCAAGATAGAAATTGTAGCATCTTGTAATGGTATTTCATAAAAAAAAGTCCGGATATATCATAAAGATCATAAATCTAGAAATATATCTTAGTGATGGACCCTCCCCTGTACACTTTGATGAAAACTTAACTCATTATTTGTTTCATTTACCACATCATCGTGTACTACATCATTTCTTCAGTTGAAATAAGGAACATGAAGACTACTTTCACACAATTCCAAACATTCCGTGCTCCAATGATCCTGGGTTAGATGCTAATTAAAACTTTTCGTCTCTGATAAAGCATTGTAGGACAGACACCTGGCCTTATTCGCCTTGTGTGTTTTAGGACTCAATGTGTAAATCTTTAATTTTTTTTTTTTTTTAAATTTTGCCCTAGTTTTATTGATATTGAGTTTGGATTTTAATCATGTTGACATGTTGGTATTTTCTTGAGTTTTTTTATCGAGTTGCCCCATATAAATTTTAAGAAATATATAACACGGATACAACGTGATATTTAGTACGTATTTGGAGCACACCATTCCAAACATCCTGTACTCCAATGGTTCCGTGTTAAATGTTAATCTAAAACGTACGTCTATGCTGAAGCATTGTAGGGCAGCGAGACTCTAAAGTATGGTGTGGAAACATCTACCTTGGTATAGGCATATATAAATTTATCCTTCCATCATAGACCATTTCCATCGTCGATTTTTCTTTTCCCTATAATCACTTTGCTTCCCGCTGAAGCAGGGATTTTTTTCGCCAAATAACCAAACACCAGACCCCCACTATTCGTCTACATTCGTAAAAGAAAAGCGACGCAAAGGGTTACTGTTTGAATATTATGGCTCTGCAATCACCAGGACAACGGTCCCATCAGCGGCAATAAGCCGTATAATTAAGATTGATTTGAATAAAGCAGAACATCCGGTCAAGTGTGGTCACTGATTGGTCGACAATAGAGTGGTTAGTGGAACTGGATGGACACTGACCGAATCTGGTTTGGCAATCAATAAAACTTAATTCGACTACCAGACAGGTCGTGTTGACAATTTTTTTAAACTACCTTTGTCACTTTGTTCTGGCAACAGTTCACCGTAACTATACCTACTCCAACGAAATATATATACGGCATAACAACATAAATTGTGAAGACGGTTGAATATAGAAAATGAGACCAAAATTAACTCCAATGAAGAGAGACCAAATCTGATCGCATGTATTGCTGTTGCAACCATGTATGAAAATGACATTACTGGAGGTGTTGATGACCAGTAGCGGCGACATAAAAACCAATATATGAGACCAATTTACTGAGGAATCCAATTTCATTTCTTCCAAACATAAGTTGTCAGAATAACGATGGTACGTTATCGGTCTACTGATGGTCGGGGTTACTAGAAGTTCGAAAATAAATTGTCAGTATAATTCTAGTCGTTTGGAGATAACATGTCAATGCTGTGGGGAGTCATGTCCCGATCTGTTCCAATAATGACTACTATATTCTCCCTACTCTACAATTATCCAAATTATTCAATAAAATTATATTAAACTTATTTTCAGAATACATTTTTGGTAAGGCATACATATGACGTGGTTATGTGATAATATCATGAATGCAAGTTTTCGATGTCAGTGGTTACACTCCTTAACGATATAACCAAGGTATTTGGTACATGTAAACTATACCAGTAACGATCCTCTCTAATACAATCCGGGATATTTAGGTGGCCGTTGATTCCGTTGTGTCTCCCTAAAGCATTATTTGGCTTCTGTGGACTCATTGAGTCTTTGTTGCTGTTGGATATTGCCGTAGACAGGTCGTTAATTCAGTGAAAATTTCTTGTATTCTGACGATGATAGAGATGTATTGGGAGTCGGGAGGTTAACCAGAAGCGTTGGCGCCGAATACCATCTGGGAACTAAATCACATCAGGGAATCCGGATTCTGGACTGTTTTCCTTTACCAGTCATAAATGACATACGGGTTTTAAAACCTTATTTTTGCAAGGACAACAAACAAAATGCCTTTGCAGGCATCTGAAATTAAGGAAACTTTTTCGAAGCCTGAACAATGGAATGTCTTCCTGTTGACAGCGACGCGTGTGGAATCGGCATAATATTCAGTAACAAGGCTTGCTTCCGTCAGTTAATTGTACTCTCGAATGTCATTACACTCAGACATCCACTGTTGGCTAAAATGGCAATGGCATAAAGCTATATCTGATTTCAGAAACTGGTGTTGATATGTGAGGTCTCGTGTGCTCCGTAATTGAACGTAACTCAAGCATACCCTCTCCGGAAGTCAAACTGCGTTTTTGATACGCCGCAAGTGCGGATAACCGGATGTGTGATTAGGGTAATGCAATATTTCGTCATTTTACATGGAATTAGATATGAGTTTATCATGGACCTCAAGCTTTCGAAACCGGAATGTTTACTTCACCTTGCATCCGTAATTATAAAAAAGCAACTTGTCGTGACCATGGTAAATTGATTCTTTTTTTTTCTAAATATAAAATCTGAAGGGATATGCTGTATGTAGGGTATCTTAAATGAGGTTACGTTTCACATATCAAATTCCTTTTCATATTTCGTTTATGAAAAAAATATTTAATGAAATTCGTGACGAATTGCGTCAGTAACATATAAAATGGAAACGAATGCAAGATTCTGTTTATCACAAAAATTGAATACTTTTTTTTTTTTTTTTTTTACGTGCAGAAGATGCTGTAAAAATTTTAACGTCGAAATCGAAAGAATATTGCACTTTAATCAATCACAATCCCGTTAGTGTTATTACATGTTTGGAAATAACAGGAAAATTTACGAAATGTCATTACACTAGTTATAGACTAGTCACGTGATAAACCATAAACTCTCAAAATTGTGTAGTATTTATTACATCGGCTGGTCGGTTTCTGTGTGTTACGAGAAAACCGGTTCGAGTTTAGACTGATAAGCCTTTCGAAATACTAAGATTAGAGAGGACTTAGATGGCGACATTGAGCTTCAAATGTTACACGTGGAATCTTCAGTTTGTACGAAACAGATTTTTAAAAATACATGAATCGTATGTCAAGCGTTACTACCATAAATTCAGTAGATCATAACGGTAAAGCGAAAGCGTATTTTCTGAAAAAGAAATTACCGTAATTTATGTATGACTTCCTGTTTTGCTCCCTTTCCTTTGCTATCTGCATGATCGTTTATTTGATTTAAACATATTTTATTATCAGTAACAGATAAATGGACGTTTGGTGATGAAGTCAAACGTACCTCTATCTGACAACCAGAAATCATGACTGTTGAAAAAACATAACTTATTGTTGCTTACGAGAATTCAAGGGAAAAAAATATGCAAACACTTCAAAGATCCAGTTTTCCCGTGATGTAGTATAGTCGTCGACAGGCAGTTTCGTACTCTCTCCAAAAACGACACACAAATTTACTTCTGTACTTTAAGATTCGGTGTTGAACATGCGTGATAATTGCCCCCGGCTACAGCGGAAGTGAAAATAACGATCTGTTAAGTCTTACTCCGAATGCTTTCAGTCATGAAGCATCACAAGCAGGCCACTCAACGCTATAGTGAAGAATTTGCGAGTGATGCTTGCAATTTTGGCCGTTAGTTAAATGATGCTAAGGTTTTCAAAGTGTTTCTCCATAAAACTCTTTCACGAAAGTCACTTTTAAAAGATTTAAGGCAGTGCTATTTAAGGAACTCCTCACGGACATTATTCGGGAAAAATCCGAATAAACAAAATGTAAAAGTACGTGAGTTTATCACGAGACGTGCCTGCGCGTGCTTACATTTGACTGTCTTTATTGAGACAACAAGCCTACCAGCAGCGAAACGTTTGACATCATAAAGGCAATTCTTGGTCAACATGTCGCTCGCTTGGAAATAGAATTAGTCATAATTATGATGTTACAAGTAGACCTGGAAGCATCTGTCTGAAGCAGATTTTCTTTGTAGTCAAATTTTATTAACTTAACAGAGACAAGTACATTAAAAGGACATGAAAATACACATCGTCTCCAACATAATCCAGTAACTAATGAACATCTGCACGACATTCCTCAGAATCAACAGTTTTATAGCAGAAAAACCTTATTAAAATTTTGAAAAAAAATTTTTTTTATTCCGTCTAATCAAATAGTGTATACAAATACAATAATGGAAACAGATAATCAAGTGATCCGTGAAAGTATGTCACACGTGACAAGCATAATACAGCATAGATCCAAAGATTACATTAGCATTGGTGTCGCCATGCCAAAAAAAATCCTTGTTCACTATCAACAGGATATCTATAAAAATCCTCTTTAAACATGGTGTATATCTTACGGAAACAGACCTAGTCAGGGACAAAACAAAAATATGTTAAATTGTAGTGTATTGAGCTTAATATTTCTCATTAAAAATCTGTAACTTCAGCGAAGTCTGATTTCCATACTCCTCATGCTAATTATTGTTAGAAATAGGAGTGCTTACGTCACTGCGACTTTGCTCTTCTGTTTCACTCACACGTTTGGAAATGATTTTTCATGCACGGGTTTAGTGTTTGGTCAAAAAAATTACGGAAAACTTTTTGTTAACATAAATCCCATTTCTCTGTCACGATTACATTATCTATACAGTTGATTGCTTCGTCTATATATAATTATTATACGATTGCCTAGTTAAAAGTACTGATGTCCTTACGATAACTATAAGTCTTTGAACATGGAATGACGTCACAGTCCCAGATTGCATTGTGACGTATGCTTTGGTCGGTTATTTTTGCTGGAGTAAAATGTTTGCTCCAGAGAGGCTTTTAATGTGATCGGGAAAATTAAATCCGTGAATAAGTCACGTGCATGGTTCATCCGCGACATTAAGTGCTACTAAAGTAGCCGACGCAGCCTTCTCCAATTCTCTAAGGGTATTCCGAATGTGATAGTTGTTTCGATAGGATTAAATGTGATATTATTTATGAAGTTTTTTTTACATGGCACATCATACTTTTTAAGCATAAATCGTTTGGTGTTTGACTGATATTTCCCAACTCTTGTAATAGAAACGTCATATCAGAGTAATATTCGCGAAAATTAGATATCTTTTTGTATTCAGATCTCGAAATCTTAATTCATTGAAATCAATATCCCTAGTTAAAATAAATATCGCGGATAAATTGATCCTGGAAAACTATAACAATGAAAGTCTAGAGCGGTAGTAAGATTGACCTGCACATTAATGAACTATTTAGGGACACTAATATCAATTGCCGTGATAGACAGATGAAACCCTAGTAAATACCAGCCGTTAATATACCGCTCTGCCAGTGAGAACTTCGCTTTAGCTCGATCGGTTGAGAGACAGACTTGAATGTCAAAGGTCCCCGGTTTGAATCCTAGCGGAGGCACTGAATAAAAATACTGAATCTGTTACACTATGACGAAAACGTATAACCGATAGTAAAACGTCAATCGATGTTACGCATTACCGACCTTCTGGACATGTAGATAGATCCATCCGCGCTGATGCGTACGAAAACATTAGGCGTAGTAATATTATGTTGTGTAGAACGTCTTCCGTTCAGGAAATAGGTGTTTGGCTTCCATATGTACTTCAGAAAGGCTGTACTCAGTGTTACCTTGGTGATGTTTTCTAAATTGAATTTAAGTCTTTCGTCGTGCCATCTCTGCCGAAGATAACACTGCATGGAGTACGACTGTGGATAAAAAGACACCATAACATGCAGTACGACTGTGTTAAAAATCTACCATTCAATATACAATAGGACTTTGTTTTAAAAGATACCACTGAGCATGCAGTACGACTTTGTTTAAAAAGATACCATTAAACATGAAGTATGACTTTGGTTAAAAAGATACCATTATATATTAAGTGCAACTGTGTTTAAAAATATACCATTAAACGTGGAGTTCGATAGTGAAGCAAGACCGTGGTTTAAAAGATACCATTAAATATGAGTCTCACATGAACTATAGGCACGTAATACTGTGGAGAAACAGCGGCCATGAGTTATTAAGTAAAGAGACAGCAATGCGTAAGGCATGACGTTTGTAACACAGAGACATGTAACAATTAAGAACAAAACTGAAAGGATAACAAAGCGGTGAGTTCTAACGTTATTGTCATCGTTGAATTATGTAGTGTTATCTCTTTTACATGTTAGATGCTTACCATTTCTGTTTCCAATACCGGGCCCATACTCCTGACCAGGATATCGGTCTCTATTCGGAGTGGATCGCCTGCAGTGAGAAAATAACATGTGCTGAATTTTTAAATCTTAGTTATTCTGACGTCATAAAATTATAATGAAATGATGTCACACATTTGCACATTATGTTAGTACCTTATAACGGTGAATTCGGTTTAACTCGCACAAGATCAATGAACCTATTCACCAATGTTTATTTAAACAAATGATTCTATTACTTTTCCCGTAAATATCAGGATAAATAATAAACATTATATAAGGCTCTATATATTTTTTCCACTATGACGTAATTACAGCCCCCAACAGACGGCATTGTTTCAACACAATCAAACGCTCTATTATATCAATTATATTCAAAACGAACCAATATCAATACACTATACTGGGTTCGTATTGAACACTATGGCCTATTCTTGGCATTTTCCACTGTGAAATCGACATCAAATATTTTTAAAATCTGCCCATTCAGCTGTCTTTTATATGGAACCAGTTGGGAGAATGCTCGGCGCCTTTTGCTCTGTCGACCTTGACATGTATTCTATTGATTTAGTGAGCCGTCGAAGCTTTCCTTTTTTAGGAAGGAATCTGATTGAGATGTGGCGAATTACCCAGAAACTATCTATTTCAGCCGGATTACAATGTAGATGTTATCTGTGCCTCCAATAGCCTCCATGCTTTGTCCCCAGCCGTTCAGAGTCACACAGCAGTCAGTCTTTATACAAATCATTTGTTAAACGTGATAATTGTTTGAACGTTAAATGGAATTAAAAAAAAGGTTTATGATATTGTAATAGCATACGGATTGTGTTAAGATTATTAGGTCTGCACTACAGACAAAGCATTATATTCTTAACTGTACAACATGTTATTGATATTTTTGTTTTCCTTTTCTCCTTTAAAGTCAAGGAATTGAATAAAAAGCATGGTCCCATCATTTTGTTTGTATATATTGTGTTGTTACAAAACTTTACTTTCTCCTTGTGTAACAAGTACATTAGAAATGTTGACAATTACTTAAAAAATTGCGGGTCTTTAAACAACTGGTGTTTGATATCACATTTAGAGGGGGAAAGGAATAATTGACACTTGATCATTACAAGAAATATCATGTACATTGAATAGTTTCGCTATGTAACGGGAGAGCACATACATTGTAGTCCTTTGAAACCTTTTCTAAAGCTCAACAACACGGCATTGTCGGTTTGCTGAAATATATCAGTCGTTATCCTGACAAGGGATTCCGTGATAAAGGCAACGTGTGGCGACTTGTCGCAAAGGTGCTGAACCTTTTTACTATTCCGTGACTGACATGACATAAGAAAACCTGCATAGGACTGATATTTGAAATGCATGAACCACCCTGTAAATGAGTCGACAGACAGATTCCAGGGCAGAATATATAATAGCAATTTAGCTTGGCTTCGTGTAGCCGAGGCTTTCTGGATATCAGTAGTTAAGACTTCTCGTTCCGATTTGGTAGCCCTGGGGATTTACCAATGAAATCGAAAAATCAAATGAAAAGTGGTTATCCCTTTTGAATCTAATTGTATTGTTTCCCATATAACGCCGAAAGAGATCCGTAGGCTATCTTACCTTTTCATCTCATATGGATTCACAGACGGTAGCTTAATTGGAAAACTTCTTTTCCAAAGTAAAGAAATTGTAATGCTATCAAATATTCACATTGCCTAATGCTGTATACTAAAGGGAAATCACTTTTCACCAATAATAGAAAACAAAGCTTTCAGACATCGTGCTCCTTTGAGACGCATCAAGACGATATGATAAGTTGAAATTGATACGATCGTTTGATCATAACCAAAATAACACTATCATGGGATTTTTGGATTTAATCTAGATTGTATAGATCCTACAAAGACGACAAACAAAAAAATAAAACATTATTTGAAATTTGTCCAAACTTACAGCTTTAAGAGTAAAGGAAGTTAAACGTTATCAAATAAAAGATAACATTTATTTCTTTATTTATAAAAATACATGTCGTATCTTGTACAATTTTGAAATTTATTACCAATAATTTGAATGACAGCATCCCTGTTCTTTTTTTTTTGTACTTGAAATACATCATACATATAAATAACGTTTGATTGCATTAATCGTCTGTTGTTAGGTTGTTAGGTAACGTATTGTTTGATGGGTTTTTTCTATTGTGTTCTGTTGCTATAGAAATGATGATGTGATATACCACGTTACAGAAATTAGCTTAATTTCTATCGGGACAAACCCGATACATATGCTGAATATATTAAATTAGCTTGAAATAGTGTCACCATGCATATGTTACGATTTCTGATCGATTGATTGATTGTTTGATTGATTGATAGATTGGTTGATATTTAGCATATTATATATATTATGATGGTTGTCAAGACGTTTTGGTAACGTGCTATCAAATTTCCTGATCGGACGTGAAAAGGTCGGGAGCCACCAGACGGACTGACTGATAAACTGATAGCTTGTTTCGCAATTGTTGTAAAATAAATAAAGTTATGATATATAAAAAAGAAATACATATGCACATCTCTATAAGGATCGTGATGTGTAGTGAAAGAGTCCTAGAGCAAAGTCAGTGCACATCAACGGTCCTAAATGACGATTTCAATATTGTTTGCTAAAAGTCCTCTCAACATTTAAAACAACATGAACACTTGTCTGTGGATGATCACCCGCATGTCAAACTGAGCTATCGTATTCTGGCCAAAAGAGCGTGTCACTTCAATATGTTACACGATATCAGCCATTTACTACCAACTCTTTCATTAGTAAACGTTTACCAGTGAGAAAGAGGTATCTATTTCAAACCGTTAGGTTATGGACAGGAAGCAGAATACAGGCTTTGTTGGAGGATGTTTAGAGAATGGTGAAAATAGAATAAAATAGATATGTTCTATCTGGCTCGGTAGATGATATCGATTTTTTTTCTTCGTCTCATGAAGTAGAGGTCACGAATGGAACGCACCAACTGGGGCGTAGGTTTTCACATTAGTCGCCTCAGATGACATAGTTAACAGGTGGTTTACACCAGCTAAAATAATCTTGATATTAATATATGTGATGTAATCTCAATATATGAAGTAATTCTTTGTTTATTAGTTCTGTGTGATAAAAACTGTTTTTAGTTCAATTCATTCCAAATTGGTTTTATAGCTCTACGGGAAAAACTTCGGTTCTGAATGTGTAATAAAAATCCGACAAGATGACAGGTATTTGAATTCGCTTGATATTTTATTCCTATAGCTGACCTTCACAGAAAGAAAAAAAAAACTTGTCGATATTATAATGGCAGACTACCCAAGCTTATGTGAAATAAAAAATAAAACCCGTCTGAGACTTGACGACGTCTCAAACAAATTAAATACCTCGTGCATTTATCCACATGTTTTATATGTTGATTCAACATCCTTTGGAGAATAAAATGTATACAGAAATCCAAAACGTTCTATATTATCTTAAATTTTGTACAGTATGAACATGCAACCCCATCGTTACTCGCGTCGGTTGTTACCATTACATATCTACATGATACTAAAGTACGAATACATGTCACTGCCAGCCGGGTTCCGATGAAGAGTACGTTGACTTGCAATAAAATCTGAATCCAGGGTCTAGTAAAGTATATAACTATGACAGACTGCTGGCCAGCGTGCAGTTAACATGGCCAGGCACGGTATTAAAAGACAATAATATCTATGGCAATAAATTTTCAATGTAGATATAAAAAGGACATTTGAGAGAATGATACAGTTTCTTACACATCGATACCAAATCCCTCTACGAGCCTGACCAGAAATATTATTGCTGTTTCATTGCTTATAGATATAATCCGGTCTGTGGTTACAGACTTCAAAAGATTTTTGAAAAGCTCTGCAAACATTACACAGATTCGTACATAGCAATTCATCAGGTTGAGCGGCAATGGATACTAGTAATAACACCCAACGCCATTGGGATTATGATACAATAGTTATATGGGAATGATGAGTCAGCAGATATGGGGCGAAAAAAGACAATTACATAGACTGTCATTCTAAGGCAATCACAATTATACATAGTCCATCCGTGATGGCGTAGGTCACAAAAACGGTAATGATGACTAGAACTGTTCGAGACAGAACACTGATATTGGTCACCTAACCCACATAACCCTTGTCGAAATTCTCAATCACAAACGGCGTTATGCAATCATGACCGTCACAGGAGAGAGTCTTCTCGGAATTGCTCATGCCTGTTTGTTGTCTTGAAAGGTCGAGCCGACGCCAGGGCACCCATAACTCTTCGACACCAATTCCGAAAGTTAAAACAATGAAGAATTCCATCAAAGCGATAAAACAGCACTTGTGTCTGGCAAGGGACGGTATAACATGTCCGATACGGCAAGAACCAATTGGATTACCCTTTCTTAAATACCTCAAATAGACCAGAGAATAATTCTCTCTTTCCTTATGATTGAAAGCCAATTTGAGCTGTACAAAGCTAATGTCGATAGGCGCGCTGTGCCAATATTGCTTCAAAGCTAGCGAAATTGAATTTACTGTAGTTCCGTTAGCAAATGACAAACCAGAACAGATCTAACTGAAGGAATGTAGGATCCACAGCGAAGATGTGATGGATGGGTGCATGCCGAGCAAGCGCTCTAACGACGACTTGATGGCGTATGTAAATAACCCTGAAACAAATAGATACATTTCCAGCCAAGACTGGATGATTTGGTAGGAAGGCGGTATGCGCGAGACAGAGAACCACGTTTACGTCAATAAAAACACGAATTACACAACATTTACCCTCTTTTTTCATCACAGTCTTTCAGAAAATAGATTATATAAGGTTTCAGTTGATGTTAAGTGACAATTTGGAGTATTTTTAAGACGTAACTACGGATTATTTCCATATTGGAAGTGACACTTCATTAAATTTTCATTCCACTGCAGTCGGCCATGCAGGATGTAAACGGTAATTTGGATCAATGTTCTGATTATACAATTACAACCTCATCTTTGACAAAATTCCACAATCTTTGAAACTGAACATTCTGAAGACGAGAAAATTGAAAGTGTCTTACGGAATGTATTTTTTAGCATATGTAATATAGTAAAAACTGAACAAAATATCTAAAAGATTTCCTGTCTTAATAGTGGTTTACTTTTGGTAGTTTTCCTTGTTTATCAGTATACAGGAATTAACAGGACAAAACAACGCTTTTTCTTCGGTTGATGGAGCAAATTATAAAACATTTCAGGAAGAATCAATTACGACAAGGAAACATGGATAACATGGAATAAAAAAGAAAGAAGAGAAAAAAGGAAAATGCTCAAGGGAACACAAAGAAACAACGCTAACATTGTTCGGAGTTCAGGGCAGGTAACGTCAATATTGTTCGGAGTTCATGACAAGATAACGTCAATATTGTTCGGAGTTCATGAAAAGATAACGTCAGCATTGTTCGGAGTTCATGACAAGATAACGTCAATATTGTTCGGAGTTCATGAAAAGATAACGTCAGCATTGTTCGGAGTTCATGACAAGGTAATGTCATCATTGTTCAGAGTTCATGACAAGATAACGTCAGCATTGTTCGGAGTTCATGACAAGGTAATGTCATCATTGTTCGGAGTTCATGACAAGGTAACGTCAGCATTGTTCGGAGTTCATGACAAGGTAATGTCATCATTGTTCGGAGTTCATGACAAGGTAACGTCAGCATTGTTCCGAGTTCATGACAAGGTAATGTCATCATTGTTCGGAGTTCATGACAAGGTAACGTCAGCATTGTTCGGAGTTCACGACTGGTAACGTCAGCATTGTCCGGAGTTCAGGGCAGGTAACGTCAGCATTGTTCGGAGTTCATGACAAGGCAACGTCAGCATTGTTCGGAGTTCATGACAAGGTAACGTCAGCATTGTTTCGAGTTCAGGGCAAGGCATTGTCCGGAGTTCAGGGCAGGCAACGTCATCATTATTCTGAGTTCAGGGCAAGGTAACGTCAACATTGCAGGTCAAAAGACGCGGCAACGAGTGAATGTTCGGAGAAGAAAGAATGGTTACTTTGAATGCATTGTACTGTATTTGTAATCTTTTTGAAATGTTGTAAAATATAACTGCTGATTTGCATTATTATTGAGAACGTAGAAAACATAGAGGAAAAAAACTTACCTCCAAACCCAGGACGGACTTCCTTATGATAGTTCGTCAGAAGCTGGTTTAACAAACGTGTGACATTCTCCATCGGCGACAATGACATCACTACGCTGAAAAAATATGAAATAATGAGAAAGAAATGTTTAGAAGTGCAACCATAAATAAGTGAGCGAACGTATGATAATAGTGTAAAATAGTTTGTTGATATTAAAATTTATATTTGCGTTGAATAGACTCCGGGTGAAGCTTACCGACCCCAATGATTATATTTAAAGACAGAGGTACAGAAAATAAAGTTAATAATTAAAAATCCTTAATTACACCTCGTGTATACTGCAATAATTACGCCGTGTGTTTATGATTTATGAAGTATTGAAGAGACATATCAAGGTAGCTTGTAAAATCGGTAACAACCCCTTAATCACATAATAACAACCCCTGTAACACATAACGATAACATTAGAGCTTCATTGAGCTACACACAACATAGAAGGCAAAGCAGGAGATAACGTTTGATTAGCACGAGGAGTTCATTGAAAAGCTTCATTATTTGATTAAATTTGATTGATTATTCCAAGAAAATACGTAAACATCGCATGTTGTTTTTGTCTGCCCACCCAGAGGGTTAAAATGTAATCTGATCTAGTGTATTTTGTATCCAATTGTAGCATTTGAAAACATAAACACCCATATTGACTATAGGGTCGTATGATCATGCTACTCCCGGTATTGAAATCTCATTGATTTATTTATTTGTTTATTACTCTCATTATGACTTTCAGTTTGAAGTAATGGACATCGATCAGTCTTCACATTACCTTAGAGATTCCAGGGTGAGAAGAGAATCACCACCAAATAATCTCTGGATCACATTGAGCACTAGTCCCTTCAAATCAATTTTTGATTAACTTAGTTCATTGGTCTTTTTCCCCAATTTCACTTATCCATATAATTCGTAACTGATATACCATTCTACAGAAATATGTTCATATCCTTGCAGGATTTATTAAGACTTAGCCACTTGAAGCAAACACAGCAGGAGCTGTGAAGAGCGTCATGGTGACGGCAATAAACTTCTCTTAAGCGGTAATCAGGTTTGGAAGGGGCTTTTTTCAAGATATTTCCGGCACAACAACTTGTCTCAAAATTACTTTTACGATGGCAAGGGGAAAGTTTTAATTAAAATTTGTGAAATATGAGAGAGCATGGCATACGTAATAGCCAACGGTTGATTGGCTGTCGCATGGTGATGGTAGTCAAAACTGAGGTGTCACGTGTACTTTGACATTTCGTTATCATATTCCCTAAACTGGCGGTTGTTGACTTCAAATTACTGCTATGAAAACAAAAAATAAAGAATATACATCAAAACATCAGAAAACACTATGAACAGTCTCATTACGACGATCTTCATGTTTACTAGAACACTGAGTAAAAGACATTTGTTTGTAAAATTTATCTTTTACAGCCATGTTGATACATTCTTTGTAAGTCAAACAGCAGCACTGCGTGTCATCTGCAGTGAAATATGGCCTCTTCCCCTAATGTAGAAGTCGGTGAGAAAAGGGCAAATGTGAAAGTTATTTTAAAAGTTCACATTTACATCATCTGTGCATAATTGATGTCCGGAGAATGAGACTGACTGACGATTTGTAACACAGAAATAATTAAAATAAATGGAATGCATATAAAAGTGCGTTTCAATAGTCTATTTCAGTGCCCTATGACCTAGTTACGTCGTTTTTTCGTCAGTATGACGCCAGAAGGGATGGGTCGATTGATGTATCTAACCCTCACACAAGTTTCTACCTTTTATTTGCATCAAATCATATCTTTATCGTTTGAAAACATATCTGCATAGAATGTTTACATTCTACAAAGAGAATTTTCATATTTGTTGAAATTAAGGGTATCGTTATCAACACAAAACTTCACAACACAGTATCGGTTAAGTACCATGTAGGCCACAAAAATGTAGCGAAAACATAGTTTGTTGAAAAAATGCGGTGTTTCTAATTGTCTAGGTGTTTTCTTAAAATGTTTTAACATATTTTCAGATTATTAGAAAAGATAAGAATACAATTTATCCAACTGCAATTTTCGGATTCCTAAATTCATACACACATAGTCATTGTGATCTACTTAGCAATAAGGTATTCTATAACAGTATTGATTTTACATTATCATAATGTCACTTTAAATTGCTCTTAACGTTGACGATATATTGTGTGTTCAGATATCCGGCTGTGTTCTTAAGAACTCAGGAAAGTCGCATATTGAAGCTTAAAACAACCGTAGAAGATGATTGCCTGTATTTCCGAGCAGTATCCGCTTGTTTTTAGATTTGACATGTGACATTTTAATAATCAATCGGTAGCTCTTTCATATTGTTGATATTGATTTAGGCAATGTTTAATTGTTTCAATGCATTTTAAGTTTTTTTTAAGGAAAAAACATGAGCACGAAAATTGCAATCAGTACCAAATAACGCCACCAGAAAGTTAGGAACTCCTTTTTATATTAACTTCGTGTCTTTGACTATGACATCTTTCGTTGAAATTACTGATATCAAGACAAATAAAAATGAGATCTAGTCAAAGACCTAACGGTGATATTTATTTCTGTGTATGTTTTATTTTATATTGGTAGTCAAATCATTACAATATTTTCTTTTTGATGAAAATGTCTTAAATTAATTTCAAGATGTCCACGGGCCTTAAGGGTCATCTGAGTATAAAGACCTAAATTGCTCAACTACACTACAGCGCATGGTTGAATCATACAGTCATTTTCTGCACACTTGAAATCATATTCTTAATACGGCACTACACAAATGCCATTACTCCGGACATATCGCTTGTTGAAAAAGCATGTTTCAGGTCCAATATTAAGACCCATGGCCTTTTGGTATTTTAGAAAATGTTGTTTACGCATATGACACATATGACCCTTGTGACCATGGCAGGTCCAGGTGAACAATCTTGGTAGCCCTACATCCCAGCATGCTAGAAGCCCAATATCAGGAGCATGGACCTTTCGGTTATTTAGAAGATGTCGTTGTGAGATTTAAACATATTTGACACCTTTGACCTTGAAAATAGATCAAGGTTATTCATATTAAAAGAAACTTGGTAACCCTAACTCCATGCATGCTACATGCATAATATCAGCACCCTGGACCTTTTGGTTATGCGGAGAAGTTTAAAGATTTTAACACATTTGATCCCTGTAACCTTGCAAACGGGTCAATGTCATTCGTATTGACAAAATAGGTAGCCTTTTACTCAATAATGCTACAAGCCCAATATCGGCACCATTGGCCTTTTGGTAATAGGGAAGAAGTCGTTTTAAAATTTTAACATACTCGACCCTTCGGGTCAGATGACCTAAAAAGCACCTGCATGCTATGTTCTTATTGTAATCATATGATTTGCAGTAGAGGTACTTACGGTAAGTACCATACGTCAACGGATATATCTACGTTTACTATTTTTAACTACTGTTATTTGTTGAAATGAATGTTTATCGAACTTCGGTGTAATGATTGTTTCCTAATATATATATGCTAGTATACTACTACAGCAACACGCCCCCATAAAACACCCGTGTATTATTGTTTACGCGAGTCACACTTCTCTACGTTAATCATGTTCCATATTTTAACACTTACCAATAACGGTACAAAGGTTGTTTTGATCTGAGAGACAATTCACTTGAACTGTTGAATATCAAAGAGATCCACGATTGGCCTGTATATAAAGTTTAAGTCCTCCCGACATGTGTTTATATGTTATATACTGTATCAGTGAAGATAAGACAATTTTTTGATAATTTCTTCGCATGTACGTAGCTTTTTTTCAGCTACGTTTCTGAACAATTTTATCCAAATAATGGAAATGTAAAGGCGAAGATAGAATATCGCTTGTTAATTTTCTAGTCTGACTTTTTTATTTGTATCTATATTGTGATAAGTTCAGTAAATATGTTTACTGCTTAACATAGCATGAAAGTGTAAACAATATCACATATGAACTCATGTGTTATCTCTAGTTTATGCCAATTCTTGTATACACTGTCAATAATATACGTTACGTAAGCTGTCACCAATGGCTAACCTTCAGAATAGAAAATATTGGTAAAGAATATGAGAATTAACATTTCATCCTTACTTTTTATCATCACATTTTTATATCTAAAACGACAATGTTCAAATGTGATGTATGGTTCTGTCCCAACGAAGTCCTACATAATTCCCATACCCCTTTGGAAAATTGGTTACTGGTCCAGCCTCATTCATCAACTGTCGAATTAGATTTTAAAATCTGTCCTTGTAATACTATGATTTGATTAAACCTGGAGCTGATTTTCTGATTTGGGGAATTACTTCGTCATGTGAACTGTCGCATTTGAAATATTGCCTCCCAGTAGAATTAGGAGCTGGCGCAGCATTGGAACGGAAAAATAAAAACTTACTTGTTTTATGTGCTGCCGCGAATACACCATATTCAAAGTTCTTTTCCCAGTATTACATTTTGTTGCCGATAATTGAAAAGCAAAAATAAAATAACCATCATCTGCCTTGACAGTTCGCAAATTGGAAGGTTTCCCTGTAATGCCAGGGACACCGCGATATGACACATGCACTTTTTACTGTAAATGCAGGATGCAAAATGCTATGGAGTTGGAACGCCTGGTTTGTCTCTAGAGGGCTGTATAATAGACGTTCTATAACAGAAAAATGGTTACGATATTTCGACCCTAACTCAATATTTCTATCAGGTTTAGTAATTGCGATGGCGTTTCACTATCAATTTTTATCATCAAAAATAAATAAATAAAAATAAATAAATAAAATGAAAAAATAAATGATAAACTGAAAGTATTAGAACATAACAAAACGTGTACAGTTAGTGGTAAAAAGAGTCCGTTTTAATTTATCTGTTCTTAATCCTATATTTACCTAATATTTGCATACGAATACTTGCAAGGGAAAAGTACAGTTGCAACTCAAATGTTTACAAATAGTTATGTTATTACATTCTACAAAAGAATAAAAACAAATCAGTCAACATTACATGCATAAAGTGTATGAAAATAAAAAAA